CTCACCCGTGTTCAAGGATGCTGCAAAGATATCTGTTAAGGCCGCAGCTATTTCCTCTCTCTCTTCCCTCAGTAACCTGGGATAGATGCCATCCGGACCTGGGGACTTATCCACCTGAATGTCTTTTAGAATACCCAACACTTCCCCCCTCCTTATGCTGACTTGACCTAGAGTAATCAAACATCTATCCCTAACCTCAACATCCATTATGTCCCTCTCCTCAGTGAATACCGACGCAAAGTACTCATTAAGAATCTCGCTCATTTTTTCTGACTCCTCGCATAACTTCCCTGCTTTGTCCTTGAGTGGGCCAACCCTTTCTCTAGTTACCCTCTTGCTCCTTATGTATGAATAAAAGGCTTTGGGATTTTCCTTAACCCTGTTTGCTAAAGATATTTCATGACCCCTTTAAGATTTGAAAATTATCATCGGACCAGGCCAGTAACAGGAGGACCTCCAACTTGTTCATTAAAACTTTTCAGTATAGGATGGGAAAGCTGGTCAACCTATCAGCGTGTCAGAGATCATTTCAACATTCGGTTCTAGTTAAATGCTGCTAAGTCTCTTGCTCTGATGCACTTCTCTGCTGACACCATAATAACCAGTTAAATATCAAATGCTCCCACCACTGTGTGAGGCCAAGTTACACATCATAAGGGAATGGTTGAGTAACAGGACATTTGGTGATTGTATGGCAATTGGGCCAGTAAAAAGGGGTGTTGACCCCCCCCAGCATGTTCGTTTGCAGCCCCTTGCACTAACTGTGACGAGATCAGCTCATTGCTGTCTTCGCCTTCAGTGACTTAGCACACACCAAAACCAACCTGCAGTGGCTGGGTGGGGACAACAGACTTGTAGCAAAATTAAATAATACACCTCAGAGATTTTGCAATGTTGAAAGGCGCTATACAAATGCAAGCTGTTGCTGGCAAGGCTAGACGACATGGAAGGGAAGATTGCGAATCAGGGACAAGGTGAGAGAGCTAAGTGCTAAGTGATGTATCTCACTCAACACATATGTATGATATTTTCAGTTTGAAATGGACTTGTCCTGAGTAGTTTCTAAACGTTTTCTTTGTTACTTCAACAAATTTATTATGACGAGACAAACCAAAACATTAAACGTATTAACTGCGAATAATTGCACCAAATCCTGTTGTCTCTGTATCTGTAGTCATTTTGAAGAGTTTCCCTGATAGACTGGAAGGAATTGTTACGGGGATCAGACTGACCCTCCAAAGAGCCCCATTCGTCTTTTCTCTTCCTTTTAGATGTTTTTCTCTTCTTCACTTTGAAAGCAGACTGGGACACACACTTCTCCTGGCTAATGTCCCTTTGTATGTGACTGATGATCCCGGCAGACAGTGAGCTGAAAAAGTCAAGGCATGGATTCTGTGCTCGTCAAAGGGGCTGGGCGTTCAAGTGTTGATAAGCAGCTCAACTTGACAGAGCAGCTGGAGACGTGGATGGGGTCTGGGCGGGATACATGTTGGTGACCCTACGGTCTCCTGCTAGGACGGAGAGTTGCCGGCTGCAAAAGGTCACACGTGTGGATTAGTGTCAAAGCTGACCTCTGTCGCTCAGACCTGGGGCTATCAGCTCACACTGCTGCCACTGAATTTCAACCACAGGATGGGGATCAGAGTCAACAGCTTGAAGCTCCGAGGAACTGTTATCCTGCACCAACTCAAAATTAAAGGCTGGCATTCCGGAAACGTGGAATGGCTTGAGTTATACCACTAAGGCAGCTTTAGGCGCGAGTCCAATACTACCTGACAGTGAGGTTAACTTTATACATTAGAGGTTATCTGCTGACCAGAGTGTTTGATTCCAATTGATGATGGGCTGATTGGCCTTCTTCCGTGCTAACAGGATTCACTGGAGAGAGCAGTCAGGTTGGGTGGGAGCGGGTTATACAGTGGAAAAAATAAATCAGTGTCTTAGATGGTCATCATCCCAATGCTTAGCAACAGTAATTGAGTTATGAGAACTATTTTGCATGGTACAGAACTGTTTGCTGGAGCTTTGCTACTATTCCTATAGGTACACAATAGGTCTGGAATAGCAAGCTAATTTGGTGGCCTGCAGAGGAGTATACCACGTTTATACCCAGGAAAGTGAGGACATGAAAATGCAGGTTAGCTCCTGTGCCGGCTGTCACTCTCACCTCACCTCTGGAATTCAGCTCTTTTGTCCATGTTTGAACCAAGGCTGTAATGAGGTCAGGGGCTGAGTGGCCCTGGCGGAACCCAAACTGGGCGTCACTGAGCAGGTAATTACTGAGTCGGTGCTGCTTGATAACACTGTTGTTGACACCTTCCATCACTTTACTGATGATCGAAAGTAGACTGATAGGAAGGTAACTGGCCGGGTTGGATTTGTGTACAGGATACACCTGGGCAATTTTCTACATTGTTGGGTAGATGCCAGTGTTGTCACTGTTTTGGAGCAGCTTGGCTAGGGGAGCGGTAAGCTCTGGAACACAAGTTTTCAGTACTATTGCTGCAATGTTGTCAGGGTGCACAGTCTTTGCAGTACCCAGTGTCTCCAACTGTTTCTCGATATCACATGGAGTGAATCAAATTGGCTGAAGACGGGTATCTGTAATGCTGGGGGCCACTGGAGGAGACCGAGATGGATCATTCACTCGGCACTTCTGGCTGAAGATTGTTGCAAATGCTTCAGGCTTATCTTTTGCACTGATGTGCTGGGCTCCTCCATCATTGAGGATGGGGATATTTCTCCTCCCCTCAGAACTGTTTAATTGTTGAACACCATTCACGACTGGATTTTGCAGGACCGCAGAGCTTAGATCCGTTGGTTGTGGGATCTCTTAGCTCTATCTATCACTTGCTGCTTATGCTGTTTGGCACACAAGTAATCCTGTTTGGTGGCTTCACCAGGCTGACACATCATTTTTAGGGATGTCTGGTGCTGTTCCTGGCATGTCCTCCTGCACTCTCCACTGAACCAGGGTTGATCCCCTGGCTTGACGGTAATGGTTGAGTGAGGGATCTGCCGGGCCATGAGGTTACAGATTGTGCTGGAATACAATTCTGCTGCTGTTGATGGCCCACAGCGCCTCGTGGATGCCCAGTCTTGAGTTGCTAGATCTGTTCAAAGTCCACCCAATTTAGCACAGTTATAATGCCACACAATATGATGGACAGTATTCTCAATGTGAAGCTGGGACTTTGTCTCCACAAAGACTGTGCGGTGATCACTCTTACCGATACTTTTGTAGAGAGATGCATTTGCAGCCAGCTGATAGGTGAGGAGGAGGTCATTTCCCTCTTGTTGGTTGCTTCATTATCTGCTGCAGACCAAGTCCAGCTGCTTTCTTCTTTAGAACCCGACCAGCTCGATCAGTAATGTTGCTGCCAAGCCACTCTTGGTGGTGGACATTGAAATCCCTCATGCAGAGTATATTGTGTGCTCGTTCCACCCTCAGTGCTTCCTCCAACTTTTGCTTAACATGCAGTAGTACTGATTCATCAGTGGAAGGAAGTTTCCTTGCCCATGTTTAATCTGGAGCCATGTGATTCCATGGAGTCTGGAATCAACGTTGAGGACTCTCAGGGCAACTCCCTCTTGACTGTATACCATTGTGCTCCCACCTGTTCTGGGTCTGTCCTGCTGCTGGGACAGGACATATCCAAGGATGGTGATCATGGTGTGTGGGACACTTACATTTCTAGGATTCTATGGTCAGCTGGCTTTCAAATCATTTGGGAGGAAACAAAAATATTTTTAAAAATATTCCAACAGTAGCAAAGAGACATTTGATTTTGCACTGAGCCCGTTTTCAAGGTGGACATGAGAAGTGTCAGACCAGCCATGATATTATTGAAGGGCGGAGAAGGCTCACAGGGTTGAATGGCCTACTCCTGTTCCTGTTTATGATGGCCTTATGTCAGACGTACAAAGGATAATATTGAAGGTACAGTTCACTAATTAGGTTATCATTAAAGTTGTAACATGGTTAATGTTCCTATTTCATGAAAAATCCTACTTAGAGTTCACTGTCAACAGATAGAGGAGCAAGGCAAGCAAATTATGAACAGGTTTTTTTTTATTGTTTGCCCTATCCTTAAATTTGTGAGCAAATTCATTTCTGCTTCACTTCTAGATTTATCTTAGAGTCATGGAGTTGCACAGCATGGAAATAGACCCTTCAGTCCAGTTTGTCCACGCCGACCAGATATCCGAAATTAACCTCATCCCTTTTTGCCAGCATGAGGTTACTCCTCACTTTTGATTTGTTGCTAATTTACTTACTCTAAACTTGTACATTTGCTCAACTCTAATTATTGATTTTATTGTTATTTTGAGAAGATTAAATTTAATTGAGTCAAAAAGCGCAACGTCTAAATGTAACACGCAGGAAAATGCAATATGACAACCAAATGGTATTGGTGCAATTTATAATAGATCCAATTTAAATTGTGTCATTATTATCTTGCCTCAAAATTTGGGTAAGATTTACTTACTATAAAGAATGTTATTCAGCTGAAAGTCACACTGCAGCCAGTCATACTCAGCAATATTACCTCTTCCTTTCTGTGAAACTCATTACTGTTACACAGCCAGTAGCCTAAACAGAATGAATGGAAATCCACACTTACATACTGACCCTCACCTTGCTGAGCAAATGAGAACCTCATACAGTCACACAGTGAGTAACAAATAGACAATCCATGTACTGACATAGTAAGGCACTTATTCCCTGTTGGAAACAAATCCTTTACAAAGTGTCACTGCATTATGAAATCCCACTGCAATGAAAACAGCTTCAAATTCATCCAATACCTTTTATGAATGCTGCAACTAGATTGAGGGAAATAAAGTATTTTAAAAACTAGAGCTAGTTTATAAGATGTCCTTTAAACCAACATATGTCAGCATGTGAGATGTTCTTAGTGCCTTGCTCACACAGTCCTGTTCAATTCAATATAGTTCAAATTCCAGTGTCTCATGTCCAAACTCACTGCGCAACTCACCTTTGTGAGCACATTGATGAATTGTTTCAGGGCAGTGAGGTTCTTTCCAGATAGCTCCTGATGTGTTCCCACCTCCACTTTGAGAGAGTAGTAAAGTGCTGACTCCAGATCAGCCATGTATACTTTGGAACTACGGGCAGGAACACAGGCAAAAGCTCAGTATTACAATGAGACAGGAAAAGGGGCAGAGTTATACTTTAACAGAGACAGAGTAACACTTTAACAGAGACAGAGTAATAGAGTGACAGAGGGAGAGAATACAGTCACACATTAACAGCGATTGAGCGAGAGAGTGAGAGAGAGAGAGTTGAGAGGCAGTTACATCTTGATACAAAGAGAGAGGAGATACAGTTACAGCTTGAGAGAGAGAGAGAGAGAGAGAGAGAGATAATTGTATCCTGACAGAGAGAGGTAACAATACAGTTAATCTTCAGTATCTAAAAGTCTCCCTCCATGAAGTTAGCTTGACAAGTTTCCCAGAAGAATTAAATGCAATGATTCTGCACGCACTCTTGTAGTTCTCAATCATGCCATTTAATATTTAGAAATAATCTTAGCATGGATACCCATGTTTGGCATTATTGGAAACCAGCCTTTGCCTTCAATAGAACAGATTATGTTAAGTATGTTCACAAGGCTGATATACGGACAGCACATCAAGCTGAATGGTAATTCACTCAGGGATTAGTGCTTCAATCAAACTCAAGTTAGGGACGTTCCCTCATCCAATTGGGTTTTTCACCTCAGGGACACTTCTTACCTGGTCTAGCCTACACGTGACTCCAGACCCACAGCAATGTGGTTGACTGCCCTCTGGGCAATTAGGGATTGGAAATAAATGCTAGTCCAGCCATTGAAACATCCCAGGAATAAATAAAAATAAAATAAAATCTAATTTTAAAAAGAAGCGTGGTAATCAAAAGTTACATTTCTGAAACAGAAGTGCACTACTCACTTCTTCATCTATTTGGCATTTGGGAAAGTTTCTGGTACATTATAATCACGAGCAGGGTAAGCGTTAGATCAGCCCATTGTCCACTTCTGGTAAATGGGAGGCTGGAGAAGGGGAGGGGATGCTGAGCTCCGCCTTGTGTCACCAAGTGGTAACATACACCAGCCACTGCAACTCACCTTCACCAGCAAGCTCAAACTTACAACCCAGCTTCCCGAGAAGGTCATCAGCAAATAAAACCTATGTGCTGATTCAACGGTGCTAGCTGGACTGGACCAAAGGGGCTAGGGGAGGTTGAGGGGTGCTGTATCGGTGCATGGTGAGGCTCCTCCACCATATTTATCCCATCATTGCTACACCACACGAACGTAATTGCACAAGCGAGGGTGCAGAGGAGAGTCGCCAGGATGTGGCCTGGGCTGGAGCGATTCCTCTACGAAGGAAGAATAGATAAGCTGGAGTAGTTTTCCTTTGAGAAGAAAAGGTTAAGGGAGGATCTGTTTCAGGAGTACAAAATTTTGAGGGGCACGGACAGGGTAGATATGGAGAGATTTTTCCTCTTTGTAGAGGTGTCCATAACCGGTTTTAGGGGGAACGGTTTTAGGGTGAGGAGCAGGAGATTTAGAGGGAATTTGAGGAAAGTCTTTTTCACCGAGACTCGTGGGGATCTGGAACTCACTGCTTAAAAGGGTGGTACAGGCAGTATCCTCAAGACATTTGAGAAGCATTTAGATGTGCACTTGAAATGTCATAATGTACAATGCTACAGATCAAATGTTGAAAAATAGGATCAGAATAGACAGATGCTTAATGACTGGTGCAGACATGATGGGCTGAAAGGCCTTTTTCATGCTGTTAACAATTTTATGGCTCTACTATTCAAAACATCCTACCTGTCAAAGTCTCTCCACGGTGGGGCAGTAGTAATGTTTGTGGACTCTACTGTAGGCAGGTTATGAATGGCACGCATCACCCCTGGTAACCGGCGTAAGTAATATGTGTAGAAAGTGCGGGTTGGCATTCTCCTGCAGGTTAGGAAACAGTCAGTTTCAGCAAAAAGAATATTCATCATTTCACCTCAAACCCCATTAGCAATAGAAACATTTCACCAGAGGGTTGCCAAGGATCACACTAGCTCTGTGACTGCCTTGAGCTCTCCAATGCCTACACTGCCCAGCAACCTCATACCTTTGCTTTCAAGCTCTCAATTCCTCTTTCCCCTCCTTCCTGTCTGTCTCAGTATTGATGACCAAGTCGCCAGCTGCCCATAAGATCATTAGATATAGGAGCAGAATTAGGCCATTCAGCCCATCAAGTCTACTCTTCCATTTGATCATGGCTGATGCGTTTCCCAACCCCATTCTCTGGTCTTCTCCCCGTAACCCTTGATTTCCTTACTAATCAAGATCTTATCTATCTCTATCTTCAATACACTCAATAGCTTGGCCTCCATAGCCCTCTGTGGCAATGATCAACCACTGTCTAGCTGAAGAAGTTCCTTTTTATCTCAGTTTAAATGCTCAGTTCTGAAATGTGCACATGCTAAACACTTCTAACTCTTCATTTCCCTTATCTTCCTCTATGACCCTTGAGTGCATGCTTCACCTACACATGGAGATAGCAAGAACTGCAGATGCTGGAGTCAGAGACAACACAGTGTGGAGCTAGAGGAACACAGCAGGCTACGCAGCATTTCTGAAGAAGGATTCCAACCCAAAACATCAATTTTCCTGCTCTTCTGATGCTGCCTGGCCTGCTGTGTTCCTCCAGCTCCACACTGTGTTGTCTCTTCACCTACACATGACTCTTTTCAATAATATGACTCGCCTTGCCACCCATCTATCCCACTAAGCTATTGATTGCCACTCCTAATGTCTTTGGTTCAGTATAACTTCATTTCTGATAGTATTTTTGCTGTGTACCTTGAGTTGATTTCTGAGATAAAGGTGCTTCATAAATCCAAGTTGTGGCCTGTCCCATTGCCATTCTCTTTCATTAACTACCGACTATCATCAATACCTTTTGAGGAACAGCAGTGAAATTATCCTCAGTAATCCCCAATCAACACCACAAATACAGGTTATCACGTTATTGTGCTGTCTGTTGCACAAATTAATTACGTTGTTTTCTACATTATAGTGTTTTAGAAGTACTTTGTTGGTGTAATGCACTTTGAAATGACCTGTGGTTATGAAATGCAAGCTTCTATCTTCCAAACTCACTCCAAAATGTGTGAATTTAAGAAGGCAACCAGGGAAGGTCAGTACTACTTGCTTTACCAGCAAAACCTACAATTGAAAAATAGGACAAAGATTTAATACCTATGTCGTTAACACTGAACTGCCTTCTGATATGGTTCAGGAAATGACTGAAATATCAAAGCTTTTCAGGACAACTATGTCTGCGCATTAAATATCAACCTTGCCAGCAATGCTCACATACACACTGAGAAACCCTGAAGGACACACAGCATAATAGTACTGACAACAGAACACAGTATAACATGGGCAAGCCATCCATTATACATCTTTCCCAACTTTCAATGGGAACATGAACAGGAAGGGCAGCTGATCTGATTGTCTGCCTTTACATTATCAAAGTCAAAGTTACCTGCACGAGCGCCAGGAGGAAGAGAAGGAAACCAAAACGCTCAAATAAGGGTCAACTTGAAAAGAAACAACGGCAAGTGGAGAGTCCGATCTTGGTGATAATAACGTGTGAAGGAATTAAGGGGAAACACGCAGTGGCAGAAAGAAGGAACAGTGAGGTGAACAAAGGAAAAGAGAGAAAAGCTGTGACAGTCGTCATGACATGGTTAAAAAGAGAGGAAAAAGTGAAAGAAAGATGAGAAAAGAACGATAACAGAGAAAAACAAGACAGCAGGATGAGAAAACGATGCGGAGGAAAGCACAAGAACGGTAGACCTAACAGGGCAAGAAACAAAGGGAGGGAAAGTAACTGGGTGGTCTGTGAGGTTTGAAAGAAGCAGTGCCCAACATGCTCCTACCATTAATTCTCCGTGACCTTGCTGCCTGATATTTACTGTTCTGTTTAGCCCCTCTTAAAGAGGCACACACACAGGCATGTAGATCTATCTCTGTTTAACCACGAGCAGATGGAGCCCTCCTACTTGATCACAAATAATTTTCCCCTCCACTAGCTCTGAAGAAAGCCTGGCACTTTGATAATGTCATCAGCACCATCCAATTATCTCTGGCATCTGTCGCAGGAGACAACGGAAAGGGAAGCTCTGGCCAGGGACAGGCTTACACTTGACTTTAGCTTCTTCCCACATCTGTCCCTCCGGCTCAGATGAAATTCTCCCTGGCAAGTTCCATTCACCCAAACGTGGTGCACTGTCCCATTGCTCCTTGCACTGTGCCATCGCTCAGCTTCACAGCATTAATCATCCATTCACTGAGAGAACATCCCATCTGCTTGTCACTTAACTCTCCGATCGCACCAGTTGCCCCTGCTCAGTCAACCAGAAAAACTCTATTGTTCTCATGCAACAGTTTGGAACATCTTCCTATTGTGCAGAAGCCATACAATCTCCAGTGCATATTTCATGCAGCTAAATTTTAACTGTTTCGGACCCAGCAACTGAACGTACCAGAAAATGCACTGAGAAGAGAATGTCAGATTCTTGTTTCAGTTGCGTGCCTCACTCTGGCTTTCTGTACCCGCGAAATGAACAAAAAATTGTTTCAAAAGAAGGTGAGAAATGCATTGTTTGTAAAATTCTCCCTCAATGTCCCAATCTATCAGCCCAAAAAGTTGGACATGTTTCAGTTACTGGTTTACCTTTCTTTAAAACAAAAATGCAGCAACTTGATTGAAGACGTGTAGGAACAGGAACAGATCATTTAACTCTTTGAGCCTCTGGCAATTAGCTTTTGTGGTAAAGCATTGCAAATTTGGATTGCTCTTGAGTCAATGTGCTTTTCAAGTTCAATCTTCAAAGTTTGGACCTACTTTTTTCGACTATGTGGTCTAGTCCTGGATTCCCCAACCAGCAGAAATAATTTCTTACAATTTATCCAACTGGTTCCCCAAAATGTTATGAGCGTTTGATCAAATCACCTCTTAAATCCAAAGGAATACAACCCAGGTTTGTGTAATCTCTTCCCGGAATTTAACACACGCAGTCCAGCTATTGTTCAGGTAAACTGATCATTCATGACTCAAATCTGCTCAGAGTATTACAGCCGAGGTAATTAAGAACAATGCAAAATCACATGCACTAAATCTTCTTCCTCAACTGTGGTCTAGGGAGCAGCTTGCTCACCAGTGTCCACCCCCACCAGAGTCCCCAGGTCCCAATCTACCATATTCCCAGCAAGCTCCTATAAGCAGCAATCTGAGCACACTTTGGCTACCTCAGTTCTGACAATACCGAAATACGGATTGTGAAGATGCATCGGGTACCTCTCCATACAATTTCAGCCAAACTGCAACCCTCAAATAATGTCATTAAAAAAACAAAAAAGATGATCCAATGGCTATTGCACTTCTATTTGTGTGAGACCTCACTGTACCCAAAGTGGCTCCTGTGTATCCTACATCGCAACAATGATGCTTCAGAAGCAATGAATTAGCTGCGAGGCATATTGGGGTTGTGAAAGGTCCCTAGATTAATTCCAAGATCTTTTTTTCCCTTATTACTATAGCAAGACTTTGTTTGACAGCATTTCCCTGTGTACAGGTTGGCTCCATGCATTACCTCTCACAGATCAGTTCCAATGGAGGGCAGACAGTGCACTAACATTTACCCTGTCCCCTCCTCTTACTCCTCCCCAGTGTAAGCTCAAGTTATCCAAAATGGAGTAGCTTTCTTTTAAAACTACAATCAGCTCCACTGCAGCCTTTGAGGGGTGGGGGTTGGTGATCATAGAATCCCCACAGTGCACAAAGAGGCCACTCAGTCCAATGAGTCTACACCAATACTCTGAAAAGCGTCCCATCCAGACCCAGGCCCCCACCCTACGCCAGCAACCCTGCATTTAACCACGGCTAATCCACCTCACCTGGACACTATGAGGCAATTGTTTCTATTTCTGATCATTGTTCAGTGATACCATGGCCACCAACACCACCGTACCCCTCCTGCTCCTACTTCCACCCCAGCCTGTGCTGAAATGCTTCCACATCAGTCACATGGGGGGAGGCGATGGCCTAGTGGTATTATCGCTGGACTGTTAACCCAGAGACCCAGGTAACGTTCTGGGAACCAGAGTTCAAATCCTGCCGCGGCAGATGGTGGAATTTGAATTCAATAAAATATCTGGAAATAAGGATCTAAAGACGACCGTGAATCCATTGCCGATTGTCGGGAAAAACCCATCTGGTTCACTAATGTCCTTTAGGGGAGGAAACTGCCATCCTTACCTGATCTGGCCTACGTTAGACTCCAGACCCACAGAAACGTGGTTGACTCTCAAATGCCCTCTGGGAAAGTAGGCATGGACAATAATTGCTGCCTGGCCAGCGACGCCCTCATCCCGTGAATGAATGAAGAAAGAAAATGTAAAGGCAGTGCAGCCCAACTTGGTAATAGCTCAGTACCAGAACTCTGCATGATGGGCTGCTGCTGCTTGAGTGATGGCCTATGGAATAGCTTACACAGCACCTCACGCTACTTCAGGGCCTCCCATAGTGCATTCCAGTCAATGAGTTACTTTTGAAGTCTAGTCACTGCTGTAGTGCAGGAAAAACGGCAGCCAAACTGTGCACAGCAAGCTCCCACGAACACTAATGTGATAAAAGACCAGATAATCTAGTTAGTCTAGGGGTCAGCAAGAGAGGGCAGAACTCCCCACTATTCTTTAAACAACGCCTTAGGATCTTTTACATCTGCCAGAGAGGGCAGTCCAAACCTCATTTTAATAACTTTACCCCTGAAGTCACACCTGCAGAGGGAGCCTTTGCTCAAACTTTGTGCTTTAGCCCAGACTCACAACCTTACTGAACCATAGCTGACACCTAGAGGTGAGTATAAATTAGCCTGTCCAGCACTGTTCTCAGC